GGAAAACAATATTAAAAATTATCTCTTAAAGTATTATTGTTTGTGTAATTACACTTTGAAAAACATTAGGAATCACTTAAACACCATTTCATATTGGTAGTTAGTTCCTTTTTTTTTTCCAAACTAATTATCGTTATTTTTACGAAAAAAAAAGATTTCGGGCTAAAGCTCCCCCCCCAAAATGAAATCCTGGATCCACCAGTGGATTTAATGATTTAAACTAAACTTGCTTAAAATCTCCTTAAATCTCTTTTAAAGACAATTAAAGTTCTCAAAAATAAAAAGTAATCATTATTTCATAGAAACCCAATCACTTTTTTTTTTTTTTTTTTCAATTTCTGTAATACCTTGAAAATTAAGCATTTCGCAGCACACTCCAGTTTTCCGTTAGAAAGATAATTACATTATCTTAAATTATAATTTGTTAAATAAACTCAAACAAAAATCTGAGAAAACATCTCAATCAGCCCTATATTTGCAAAAATAGGCCCCTGCACTGAGGGAACGAGATACTTTAGCCCCTCATTCCAATATTTCAGTCAATTACTCAACTCATAAAAAGTTGTACAAGTAATTATTATTATTCGACCGAAAATAATGAAATATAATTATTAACAGTAACAAATTCTTTAGAGAGTGAAGAATTTGGATATCTTGGGTCGGAGAATAAGGTGAGCACTATTTTTCTCCACAATGCCTATTCTTCATCCGCTTGAACCTTTCTAAGCTCTCCTTCCTGTAATTCAGGAAAGAAAATGGCAAACAGGAGAAATTAACCCAAAATCTGAAGTTTGTTAACAGACATTTTATTTTTCCTGTATTTTATTCGAAAGCTTGTTTTGTTTCTTGTTCAAAATGTTTTGAATTTTTTTTGTTGGTTTATCTCTAACTATATCTTCGAATCCAAGTGACCAAATTTACAAAAAGTGGTGTACTAGTACTGATGGAGAAACTAGTCCAGCGAGTGGGCATTGTGGTTCTGTTTGCCAATCCTACTAAGAGGTTGCCACAGTATACTTACCAAACTGGTAGTGTCATGATTCATTAATCGGAACCGCTGAAAAATAAATATTAACTAACCCAATTAAGAATCGAATCCACAAAGTTCTGGACCTGGCGCTCTTGAGACCCTCACCTCTACAAAATCGACCATCGAAATCTCAAAAAGTGGCATAAATGCAATTTATGGCCCTTTACATCCTCCTTACATCGTCATTACGCATGTTAAGCTACATTTGACCATTCACGCAATCAAACTTCATTTAATACACAAAAATAGATGAGAAGTACAATATTATTAGGAATATTGGAATTAACATCACAATTATAGCAAAAAGGGGATGTCTAGAAGGCGGTTTCAGGGTGCAAGTAGAGCCATTAAAATTTTTGTGGTAAGTATATTTTGACGGGGTTATGAATTTTTGGAATGAAAGATTTTAAACCAAGGAACAAGGGGAAACATGGACCAGACCATATCAAGTGTGATTGCATACGACCTACTATTTTTCTAATTCTATTTTCGCTAGGATTTTTAAAAAGAGAGAGATTCCAATAATTTCTTGGAAGGGAGAATTCACACGCCGTTGACCTGAGGGAGAGGGAAGGGTGGAAGGGCACCACTGAGTACGAATATTTCCAAAACGACATTGTAAATATACAATTTTGATATATGCTGAATACCAAGATCATTCCTTGCTTAATTTCATAACAAAATAAAATAAAAACTATAGTAGGCTCTTCAAAACTATTGTGATCGTCTCTCTTCCTCTTACCATCTGGACCTATTTTATTCTCTTGACAGAGGTCTATGGGTAAGTGGACTATGCAGCCGCATAGTGTTCAGAAGGTTTGACTTTTTTTTACAGTTTTACATCCCTGATGCCGAAATCCATCAAGTCAAACGTCTGCGGTCGAATTTAAAAAAACTAAAAAAAGTGCTAACAAGATGTGATCAGCAGCAGGCTTACCAAATGCGATAGTTTCAGACCAGTTACTAGGTAACAGATTTAGTAGAATTTGACAAAAATTTGGAAGCTTTTCACAAATCTGATGACTGAATAAGACAAAAACTACTTCATGAGCATCATATCTAATAACGGATGTAATAAACGGATATGAAACATTTTGAAACTTTTCACTAATCTGAAGACTGAAAAAGTGCCAAAAATCAGTTATGGGCATCAGATATAAAACTGGTTACTCATCTCGTAGTGTCAAGAAACATTCTAGATAATTAATTTAATGAAATCTGACAAAGCTTTTCATCAATCTCAATTAGAAATTCCAGGAATTAGAAAGATCCAGGACTACTCTCTTCTATACTCGGGGATCAGCATAAGGGAGAGAGCAGCCAGTGTTGTAGGATTCATGTTTCATAATGATCTTCTATCAGAAAAGAAAAGCTGGAAATTTATGAATGATAGAATCATGATCCTAAACATTGTCGAGTGTAAAAGAAATTCACTGTGTGATTTTCCATATGGCCTAAATGAAGGTTTAAGAGCAGATGAAACGAGGTAGATGACTGCAAGCGAAACCCCATAAATGTCAGGGACCTGAATGGTAGAGTGGGCTGTGACTAGGATCGGTGGCCTTGTGTGTTGGGTTACCACGGTGAAAACAGTCTGAAGGACAATTAGGAACGAACAAATGAACTGGTTATTAGTAATACCTCTTCCCTCATAAACAAAGACATAAGTATACCAGATAAGAACCAGAGGTCGATCATCGACTATGTACTGGTCAAGAAGGAAGAGCTGAAGAGCATTCAAGAAGCTAAAGTGAAGAGAGGCTTTGAGATCAAAAGTGATAATTATTTATTAATGCTGGATAGAACATGGAATGAAAGTAGGAGGAGAACCACGGGCAGTGAAAAAACAAAGCTATTAAATTGTCTAGACTAAAGAGGTTGCAATGGCTCCATATCATTGGGAAGAAGTGGAGAGAATATCATGTGAACCTTCTTGACCATGGGGTAGTGATAATGTTGATGAGAGCTGGACATCATTAAGAAATATTGTTTTCGATGCCACAAGATCCTGTGGGATAAAATCCAAAGAACATCGGATCAAGTTTCAATCGAACTGCCTGGTGAATGGATGATGTGAAGAACGCTGTAAAGGAGGAGAAAGCAACATGGAAAAGCTTCTTGAGCCAAAAAACACCTGGTACAAAGAGAAAAGGAAGGAAACCAACGACAAAGTACTCACAGCTAAGAGAAATTGTTGGGAATATCTAGGCCAGATTAAACTTGGCAAATCGGCAGGACTGGATGGAATTACTACACAAATGATGATGTATTTGGGCGGTAAAGAACAGATGTTTCTCCATCTCTTGAACCTAGTTTGGGAACAGAAAAAGATTCCAAAGGACTGAGAGGTTGCTGTCATAGTGGCTATATATAAGAAGGGAGATAACAGAGACTGTGGCAATCATCGAGGTATATCACTCCTTAGTGTGCCCAGTAAGATATACTTGATAATCCTGAAGGCAAAAATCATAAGAATCGTCGAGATAAACAAGACCCGAGAGGAAGAAATGGATTCAGGAGTCAAAGGAACACATTGAATCTAATTTTCACCATACAGCAGATCATGGAGAAGGGTAAAGAGCTGTCAATATGCTTTGTAGATCTATGCAAGGCATTTGACCTGGTCAGGAAATACAATATTGTTAATGCTCTGGTGAAGGAAGGAGTAAACAACAGACTCATTAGGGCTGTAAGCAGTCTGTACCGCAGAACAAGGAATTTGGTTAGAACAAGTAACTATAAATCTCAAGAATTCAAAACAACCAAGGGCATAAATCAGGGTTGCAGTCTGAATTCTTTTCTTTTTATATTGGTTCTCGATTGCCACTGCAAACAGCAATAGCGAAGATGCGAAACTTTCATTTGGGTCACAGGGATATGAAGCCTACTCTTTACTTCCTTTTTTTTTCTGACGACCTTGTCATATTGGCCCAGAATGGCCCTGATCTACAAAACAATGTTAATACCCTATAGGAAGAATTGAAAGCTATTAATATGAAAATCAACACTTATAAAACGAAATGCATGCACATTGGAAGAAAACCTCATAGTGTTGAGGGTATTGAGAGTGGGCGTTAGATTGTTTTAAATACTTGCCAGACCAATTTAACACAAGTGTTTATATCGACGAATTGGCAGGAGGTGATGCAATGAATAGGGACAGTGAGAATGAAGTTCTGCTCAGTGAGAGGTTTTCTAAATCAAAGAGGTTTCAAAGAAAACAAAATGGCAGTATATAGATCAGTGTTCCTTCAAATTCTAACATACACGTCTGAGTCTTGGACTTTCATTTCAAAGCAGAGGAATCAAGTATTCTCTAGAGATGCAATACCTATGAAAAGTGGAGGGAAAGAACAGGCGAGAAAAGATTCGCAACACTGCCATCCACGCCAACCTCGAGGTCAAGCCAGCAGAAACCATTCTAAAAGAAAGCAAATTAAGATAGTTTGGCCATCTTCTACGGATGGATCGCTGCAGAGTCGCAAGGAAGACCTATGAGACTCATGTGCAGGAAAGAAGACACCGAATCTCGTGAAAAGAAAGTGTAAGAGAAGCATTCCACAAACGAGTTTTGGAGCGTCAGAGAAGAGAGCTGGTGCAGGAGAGGTCCATCTGGTCCAAGCTCTACAAAAGGCAACCTCACACTGCCAAAGTGGTAAAGAGGAAATAGATTGTGATGATGATTATCTCCCATAAATCATTCTCAGTTTCAATATAATGTATGGTACTCTTATTTTCTAATATGCTTTTGTTTTATTTTTTAAGAAATCAGAAGATGGAGGATGAGGATATACACACCAATATTTCAGTAAATTAATTAGGTGCCACTGATACTTATGAAATATATACTAGTGATTCTTATAAACCAAAAAAAAAAAAAATCTAGATATGGTATGTAACTGCAATAATAATTTATGAAGAGAATATTGTCAGTTTATTGCAAAAAATCATTAAGTAACATTTTATAAAAAGGCACAAATACTCTTCGCAGTGAAATTTTATTGTTAGCTGAAACATTTTTATCTCAAAACTTTTGGTATAAATAAAAAGTTATTATGAAGAATAATTGAACCCATGATTGTATTAACTTTTATTTCAATAAGAGGTTAAGATACAATAATTAAATTGGCATGCGAAAAAGTTAATATAATTGTTTTGTGATAAGTGAAATAGAGAACACTCCTATTTTAATAAAGTGTGAAAATTTTCTTGTGACTTTAAATATAAAACATGCATTTTTAACCATAAATAATGTAGAAGTTGGGCATAAATGCATGGTGTATTTGTTAATAAAGGATTTTATTTTTTCCTAAAAACTAGTTATTACTGAATACCAACACGATAATAACATAGCATAATTAAATTACTTAATTTTCATGTTTATTAATTTTATTGCTTTACTGGTCAATTGCATATGCTGCAAGAGACAAGTTGAGTTAAATAAAGCCCTAGTTCAGGATACAAAAGTAAGTTTAGATATCAATTCCATATGCAAATTTTAATCTATAAGTATGCACAACTCCACATTAGTAAACGTTGCATTATAAGTGGCAATACAGAAAAAAAATGGTAACATATTTATAACGCTATTCTACCACTTTTACAATAATAACTAGTTAAAATATTGACTAAATAAAGAAATTATATCTATTTCCTACACTAAATTTGATGATCCCAAAATGACAACTACAATAAAAATTTGATATATACCTGAGCGTAAAAGGAAAGAGTTTAAGTTCAATAATAGTATTAACATCCAACTTCTATATTATCTATAAGTAAACTTCATTAGTACAAGTAAGTTTAAATGCATATGAATAACAATTTCTAATTAAATTTTCAATGCCAAAATTTAAAAAAAAGGACGTATAAAATAAGGAAATAAGTTTTAAAAATAATACAATTTAACAAGAAACAAGATGCAGATCTGGATTACTATCGTATTCCCTTATTTTGAAAAGATAAATTTAATAAATGACATAGTTATATATCTAATACATAATCATAAAGACTTTTTTTTTGTTGTACAATTTTTTTAGATATTTAAATCATTGTATGCTCTTTTTTTAAAAATAACAATAATATAAAGCTTTATGATCTGAGATTAAATAATAATGAAAATAATCCGTCCAACTAGTATAAACATATATATCTTAATTAAATTAGTTAATATGATTTATACATATATATTTATAAATATTGGTAACATTAAAAAAGAATGTATAATATTGATTAATAGTATCATCTAATGTTTTAAGCTTTGGTAAGGAACATTAGAAATACCACAAAAATAGGCATTGATAATTACTATGCTATTAGAGTCTAAAATATTAACTGATTAAATTGGGCTTAAGTTAAAAATAAATGTGAATTAGCAAGTATATATATAACGGTAAAACTTTGTAAAGAAATATATAATAAAAGAAATAGTATAATGACCTTAAAAGGTCAATCTTTTCAATATATGTATATATATATTTTTTTATATTTGATTCAGAATGAATTTTCCATGGTTCAAGAGACCTAAATATAAATAAATAGCACACTTTTTATTTTTTAGATATGTTCCGAGTATGGAATAAATGATTATTTGTTTAATTACAAGAAACTATAATTGAAATTAAATTATACTTCTTACATTATTGGCACATATCAACCAGATTTATGACACAGTTAAAAAACCGGTTTATAAGGCACTTTAAAGTTTATTTCTCCTTCAAAAATTTCTCTCATATTTCAAAATCATAATAATGTGACACTGTAAAACTCAATTTGAATTCACTCACACATGAACTATGATTCTTCTTATTCAGAAGAGAAAGATATTGCACATTTTAGAAAAAAAAAAACTTTGGCATAAAAATTTCATAATAGAGAAACCTAAATTAAACAAAGATATCTAATTATTTAAGTCACAATGGTTGTTATAATCATGAACAATGATTTGGTAATGACTATGCGATGATTCTGGTTATAAAAATTTCTTATTTACAGATTTAAACAGTTCTGAGCCCCCTATTTATGATAATTATTTTTGCTTTCAATAAACACACTTCAAAAGCAACAATTAGCATCAAATAGCCTCAGTTAAAAGAAATGCTAATTTAATTAATATCACTGCATCCTTTTTGTGGTGCCACTATGTTCCTCACAACCATCTAGTATTATTTGTACAAAACTGAAATTTATCGAAATTGAATGTTTATTTATATATACAAGCAGATATCAATAAATTACATTAACATATGTTCAATAAATATGTATATATATATATATATATTAGTAACTAACACAAAAATTTAACAATAACAACAAATACAAAATAAAACAAAAAGTGCTTATGAAATCATACAAAGGCCATATGAATTTTTTTCTTTAATTTTTTCTTTTCTTTCTTTATCATGGAAGAAGAATTAATATACAAATCAACTTTATACAAATATTAGTTTTTTAAGTACATAAAATACAAATGAGATGTGTTATGTCATATAATAGTTTTGGAAGATGTAAAAATGAGATAACAATGGCTAAAAGATAGGACTTAAAACATTATTCAAAACAGACTTCAACAGCCCATCCCACTTTCTTTTTATTAATCAGTTTCCTTCCATCCATGAGATCCCTTCCTCCTCACCCTTCTTTTTTGATGAGGCTCAAACATCAACAACCATTTTCTTATGGATATCAGTATTTCCGACGACCTAAAGAGAAAAAAAAACAGAAACCAGTCAAATTTAAAGTTGATGGTCAAATTTATAATCCACAGCCATAATTCAAGATGCAGATGTGACCTAAGCCATGTCATACAAATTGGTTAATTATATATTCTTTAGTCTTTATTCTGATTACTGCCATCCAAATGTTTTTACATGAGCTTCACTGGTATTAAAACATCACTCAGATTTTTGGGGGTTTCAGATGTTATAAAAAATACACTGGTGTTAAAGGGAGAAATATGTGAAAACATTCTGCAATCAGTGCAAAGGTACAAAATGAGAAGAGAGGTTAACATAATATTTCACTGGTACTGCCAACCTCAATGGATGGCAGTGACTACAGGCAGTTGAGTACTGCTTTGAGGGAATAGAACAGAGCATATTTCATTGGCACTGCTAATTCCATACTATTTTATCCCAACCACTCCATGAGCACTGAAACTGTTTGCAGAACCCATGGTTCTAGGTTATAATATATCAGAGAAGAGTTTTGCAGATAAAGGTTACATTGCTGTGTTTTATTTAATTTATATGAAAAAATTAAATCCAATTTATGTTAAATAAATTAGATAATGAAAAAAAGTCTCCAATAAATACTCAAATTATGATAGTTGTCCTTGAATATCCTTCCTGTCCTTGAAAAGCAAATGAAAATCATTAAATTTAAGCCTAACATTTTCATTTAAAAATATTTTAAAATAGTATAGGATTTGGCCACTATAGTGAGGAGTTTCAGCAAAATGCACAAAGTATATATTTAGCTTGATTAAATGCTGGCCAGTTAAAAAAACTGACAGTGATGTACATAATAATTTAATTTTTAATTTTTTTATTTAATATTGATGATGCCTCGTAAGGCATTAATCCCTAGTAAAGTATTAATGCCCAATAACCATTGCAACCTTAGATACCTAGAGATTTTGATTTTTATCTTTTATTTCAGTTTTACTTAATTATTCACAGATGAAAATGCTAATAAATAACTTACCGAACAGAATTCCTCAAAATTTATACGACCATCTTCATCTTTATCTGCAAATAGTATTGTTTTGTCCACAATTTGTTGAAGTTGTGTATCTTTTAAATTATTCCCCACCATCATTTTCAATACCTAGAAAACAACAGAAATAACTACATTATTTATCCACAAGTCAATAAAAAAACGTTTCCTAACTTTAATATTTAAAATTGGCGCATTTACCATAGGGATTTGAACCTACACCCATATAAAATACAGTTAACTCAAGAAATGAAACCCATGGAATGCGAAGAATTTATACTGATAAGATGGTATAGAAGCAGGAAGTTGATGCTTACCTCAGAAAATTATCTTCCGAAGCTCGCTTCCAGATATCATCAATAAATGAAATTGCTGTATTTGGGGTGAGGCAAATCCTTATGAGATACATAAGACATTATTGCATGCCCAATGTTACTGTGTGGTGGGCATTATGGACAGTTGACTGTTCTACATAGGAGCCTTTCAGTAGACAGAATGACTAACTCCAATTTTAACATTTTTTATAATTAATTTTAGTGTTATTTCTAGTGAAAAAATGTATACCTTTATTCACTATAGTTTAACTTTATTGATCTATATTTCAACACTGCAATCATTTACTCTGGAATCAACTTATTCACTGTCTGGACAGATATTAATTTTCCGACTAGAAATATCACTAAAATGACTTTACTCAAAAATGTTGAAATTGGGGTTAGTCATTCTGTCAACTGAAAGGCTCGTACATAGGTGATATATACTCAGGACACAAGGTGTTGAACACCTTCAGTACTGGAAACACTCCCTCCCTTATGATAACCCACATGCTTGGATTGAAACGTCGGCAACAACAAAAATCTTATAATGACTGCATCCTGACTATTTATCATTTATCTTATATAATTTACATCTTCTGTTTTCTTCATTAAGTGTGAATTTAAAGGCTAGGATCAGTATTATATTGGTCTATTGATTGACACAGACAATGATAATTCTCTAAAAGCAAATGAAAGATGTACAGAAATTGAATACTTTAATTTCTTAGAGTTTAACATATTTAAATTAATTACTAATTTACTCAAAAATAATAACAGAGAACAAGTATACTAAAAAGTAAGTAAGTAAGTGCGAACTCTCATATTAAAAAGCTATCCATCTAATGTAATGCATTGATATAGCAATATCAGTGAAACTGTTTATTTGTATTTGTATATACAATATAATATTGTCAATTCTTTTCCCATTGGAAATATCCCTCCAGTTTAATAATTAAGCAATAAGACAGAACTATCCTAGGATGCGTACTGATCCAATATTGTACTTGCTCAAGACCAATTTATTTGGAGCAGAAGAGCCTTGGTTTGTAGTTCCCTCACGTACTCACTTAAGAGTATAGAAACCTAACCTGAATATTTTTTCTTTATTTATGCTACCATACTATACATAGTGTAGATAAAATAATGTCATTATACCAATTTATATATTACCCATTCCATTCTAAATCTCTCAATTCACTAGAATAAAAAAACGAGAGAACTTATTCAGAATCCCAATATATTATTTTACAATACAGGTACTAACTAAGCTACTCTTTCATCAATGGTGTTCCCCACACATGCATTGAGCACCGTTATGTTAACATAACCTTCATCCTCTCATTAATATTTTCTAAGTGCTGGGAACCATAAAATTAGCCCATATAACATTTCCTGTAAGAAATATTATGTCCTTTTTAATATCATTTGCTTTATACCTTTTTTTTCTCTCCTTTATCTTAATATTAAGATAGTATTCTCATATCTCAATTCTAATTACTATTCATCCATATATTCTTCTGTTTGTTAATATGGTTAACACAGAAATTCTTTTAAATAAACAAAACAAGACATATATAAAACAAATTTTACTATACATGCACAATAATAAATACATATATGTTTTTTTTTAATAAAATACTTTTCCAAATGACTAAACTGAAATCAGTCATTGACTTTATTATCATCCATACAAGTTCTTCATTTCATTATTTCATTTAACCAACTATCCAGAAGTATTGAAACATTTGACAGAAAAATTCTCCTTACAATAACTAAATCAATCTGGGATCATAATAATAATAAAATAATATATTATTCAAGATATTGAATACGCACATTTCCCATCATTTCAATCAAAATAACTACTATTTATTTATTTTGCATTATCTATTAATTTTTATTCATAATAAACCGAATAATTTATTTATTTATAATAAATACAGATTTTATGGAATTTTAGTTTCATTTTAATTTATTTATTAAGAAATTTTAATATCAAATATAGATTTTTAAAAATATAATAAAACACCAACAGTTAAACTAAAATAGAGTTATATGAAATAGCATTAACAAAAATAATTACCTGGAAAAGTTCTCCATTAGAAATATAACCATCATTATCCATATCATAGATTCTAAATGCAAACCTCAGTTTAGATTCCTTGTCTCCTTTTACACTAAATTGCGAAACACCTTGAATAAATTCTAAAAAGAAGATTATCAATTAAATCAATGTATTAAAAATGAAAATATAAAAGGAAAATAAGTTTGCACTCCCTTTAAGAAATGCAGAGGATGGAATTTAATAAAATTGATATAGGCTAATTTTTTCACAAATGGTTAACTTTACTCTGAGTTGGAGACGTTTTTGAAATGTAAGAAAATCAATTAAGATATATTTGCTATGCTCTAGAGAAAGAGAAAGTAGTGGTTGGAATTTTAAAAACTTTATCTAAAATTTTATTTTCATTAAGCCTTACCTTCAACTTAGGTATATAAATAAATTACCAATAATTGAACATGCCATTGTTGAGACATAAGAAGAACCCAGGGAAATAAGGATGCATATATAAGTGGATTAAACTGTGTAAACAAAATTAATGAGATTGTTTTCAAGAGAGTTAACACAGTTTTTCATAAATGTGTGTATATATTTTGTATAAAAAAATATTAATATGTTTTAAGTGTTTCATTTTTTTTCTAGATTGTTAAAAGAATTATTAAGTTGGGCAAGTTTTTCTTCATAGAAATGAGTTTTTGTTGCACATTCTGAGGTTTTTATTAAATAGAAGTTGGGTCTCTTAAGAGAAGAATGGTATGGTAAGCATGGCATCCGGAAGCCTATTATTAGAATTAGGGTGACTATGAGTTATTTTGAAAATTATAAATTTTAGCTATTAAAATGCAGAACTTTTTACATTACATAGGAATGTCCAACCAAGTCTGAATGTCTGCCTCGGAATACTTAAAACCTGACTTATACCGTTTCGATTAAGAGTGAAAATAAATTACAAGTTGATACAGTAACTAACATCAAACATAATAATACACCAATAAAAATTAATATAAAGATTTGTAACGTATGTATTACCGATGACTTCAGAAAAACAGAGAAGTTTAAATATATGTTTAGCTTCTTAACACAGTATCTGATCTCTGTCTACTACTTAATATAATAATTTCTCATTGGTTAAAGATATTAATGAGTGAAGATTATTTTTTAAATACTGTCTTAACTTAAATATTTCAAATTTTATTTTACTCTGTGGTGTCTGGATGCATTTTACGGCTAAAAGATATACCTAACAGATGCAGTATACACAACTTGATGTATTGTAAAAAGCATCTCCGTTTTTCAGTCTTCATTTTCAGGATGTCTTATGTTTTTCAGTTTTAGGAAATCTGAAACTGAAAAGACTTAGTGATCAATTAACGACTGCATTCTTGGCTGTCCAATATCAAACTCTCAAAAGGCTGATACTCATATGGCCTCATAGCTGGTCATTACAATACTGAACTTTTGGATGGCCATTACTAGACTTAAGCACAATAAAAATAAAGATGGAGTAGCATCATAAACGTAAAAATCTGGTGAGTCCACTCACACGACTTTCCTACCTATTTCAGAAAAGTTTTAATATCTTTACATATGTTCAGGAACACACAAAAAAGAATTCAACTGAATTTAATTTTCCTGAAAATTGATCAAACAAAAGATTTGAGTACGATTTATTTGATTAAACTAAAGCAATGAAACTGACCTAAGGTAGAGCAGTATAAAAATGTCAATACTCACTAATATTGCTGATCAAAAAATTTTTGCCATAGCTTAGTATTGTCAAAAAATAATTTCTGTTAAAAGTAGAGGAAATAGTGACGATTGTGTGATGGGGGCAGATTTTCTTACTTTTACTTAGTCATCTTTATTCTCTCATTCACCCCTTTCTGAGACCAGGAAAAGAACGCGTAATCTTTCATTGGAATAGCTGTAACTTCGTTAATAGTTGTCCAAAATGAACGATTTTTATATGGCTTTGTAGGGAATTTCATTACCTTTCAAACGACAGCCTTAACGGTTGTTTTTCGGACTAAGTGGACTGTGAAACGTATAGATCCGTAGAAAACTGCATGTCAGAAATTTAACCCGATTGCAATACTTTCCTTACCTAGTATAGGTAGGAAAGTAATAAGTTAAAAAAATGTGTAAAAAAAGAATAAGCTATATCATCGCTAATACTGGTTCGATTCCGATGATTTTTTTTTTTTGTTTTTTTGGTAATTTAAATACCTTTCAAAAGTTATATTATAAATTTTACTGTATAATATATACTTAGGGAGTTAGGCCCCATAACATTTTTCTTTCCTTTATAACTTCTTTTCCTGAATTTTTCAGGAATTTAGTCTATATACGAAAATTGAAAGGACAATGATTAGAACATCATAGAAAAGTTTCATCAAAATCGTTAGAGCCGTTTTCGCGATACAGTCTATAGAAAAACATGTTTTTCATTTATTGCGTGCAAGCTATTGCGCATGGAGCAACGAATATCTGTCACAGGCATCAGTAGGCATAATCCTACAAAATAAAAAAAGAAGCAACAAAATCGGTTCCGTAGTTCCCGAGAAAATCTTGGCACAGACAGACCAATGGCTAAAAATGTGTTTTTCGGACACAGGGGACTGTGAAACGTATAGATCCGTAGAAAACTGCATGTCAGAAATTTAACCCGATTGCAATACTTTCCTTACCTAGTATAGGTAGGAAAGTAATAAGTTAAAAAAATGTGTAAAAAAAGAATAAGCTATATCATCGCTAATACTGGTTCGATTCCGATGATTTTTTTTTTTTGTTTTTTTGGTAATTTAAATACCTTTCAAAAGTTATATTATAAATTTTACTGTATAATATATACTTAGGGAGTTAGGCCCCATAACATTTTTCTTTCCTTTATAACTTCTTTTCCTGAATTTTTCAGGAATTTAGTCTATATACGAAAATTGAAAGGACAATGATTAGAACATCATAGAAAAGTTTCATCAAAATCGTTAGAGCCGTTTTCGCGATACAGTCTATAGAAAAACATGTTTTTCATTTATTGCGTGCAAGCTATTGCGCATGGAGCAACGAATATCTGTCACAGGCATCAGTAGGCATAATCCTACAAAATAAAAAAAGAAGCAACAAAATCGGTTCCGTAGTTCCCGAGAAAATCTTGGCACAGACAGACCAATGGCTAAAAATGTGTTTTTCGGACACAGGGGACTGTGAAACGTATAGATCCGTCGAAAACTGCATGTCGGAAATTTAACCCGATTGCAATACTTTCCTTACCTAGTATAGGTAGGAAAGTAAAAATATGTTAAAATCATATATGATAAATCTTTTAGTAGTGGGGTAGGTACATCCAGAAATCAAATAGTAAAATGTAATTAGAAACTGTTATAAAGTATTGCCAAAATAACCTTAATAATATATTTTTGAAATGAAAACTAATTATAATAACAAGTGGATAGAGATCAGATAATCTTACGATTTTGGCAATAATTATCTTAAGTTAAACTTCTATACTTTACACCAGACAATAAAAATACTGAAACTTAGAAATTTTGCATTAATTTTTATGAAATCTATTTGAACTTTATTTAATAACTAATACTTCCATTGGATTCTTTGCTACATAATTTCTGTTATTCAAAGTTATTGTGCTTAAAATGCACAAAAAGGGTACTACTTTACAAGTTTTACTCCACTATAACGGGTGGGCAAATGATCTCATGATCGCACTGTAGATAGAATTCCAGAAATCGGTAAGTGTCTAAGCCTTCTAGTACTCAACTGAAAAAACCGTTGGAAATTTGTTAATACCTCTTGTGAGAGCAGAAGTCCAAATCTGGGATGTAATTAAAGTTAATCAAGGACCTGATTTTAACTCAAAAGAACCAGTTGAGAATTAAGGAAAGTCATAAATCACCTTCTAAATAAAGAGAGGTTATATTAAAAAAAAACACATCAGTACTTGAATTTTTATCGAATTACATTTGCAGTGTGAATACGAGATCTTGTCCCCATCCATAAGATAAATAAAGTAGAACAACACTTGTTAAGCAATAAAAGCACAGGTACTGGGTATCTTGATTTGTCAGTCAGAAAGATAAAAATTCATTTTATTTCATTATTCAGAATGTAATATAACCTAAACTAAGACAATAATTCAAAATAATATAAAGAGACACATAGTGTTTAGTCAGATAGAAACTTAAAATTGTGGTTATTTGGATTTTCAACATTTAATATAACTTAAACTTTTTGTTTAGACTTTATATTGGTTGGTGAAGTTATTTATAAATAGTAATGTTTGGAGATCGATTGTCACCATATATGTTTGACACTATTCACGGGCGGATCTACGGGGGGGGGGGAGAGGCTTTCGGGCTGAAGCCCCCCCAAAATGGAAAAATATAACCATGTTTTATGGAAAAAAATATTTAAAAATACCTCTTAAAGTATTATTGTTCGTGTAATTACATTTAAAAGTACTTAAGGAATAACTTAAACACCATTTCATATAGGTAGTTAGTTTCTTTCTGTTTTTCCAAAGTAATTATCGTTATTTTTATGAAAAAAAATGTTTCGGCTGAAGCCCCCTCCAAAATTAAATCCTGGATCCGCTAGTGACACTATTCGATAGTTCCCGCATTCCAAGAAGAGTGTGATCTTTGGTTGGTTGTTTGAGTTGGAAATGTAACCTAACCAATGTTAATAATTAGAACAACTCTTCAATCTTCGGCATTCTATGTAATTTTGTGCCCATCCATGATGTTAGAGTGATTCTTCTGAAGTATAAATCTGAATTATATATATCAGGGGTTAGAATGACAGAATAAGATAGTACAATTTTTATAAATGTACTTTTATATATATAATATATTCGACCATATTCCCACTTGTAATGTTTGACACTAAGAATAATCTTATCACTAACAACAATTTTCCCTAATCATTTCAACATTGGACTTCAATGTTGTGGGTTTATTGCAAAAGTAAAATTAAACCAATGAGTACTTAGATTAATGTTTTTAATGCGAAGATTCTGTACTTGGTGTGGCTACTTTGGTTATATAAAAGGGTTTGTGTCATTTTTATGAACTTACTGTTACTTACTGTTAAATTGATAGATAAGAACTAAATTCACAAAAAGTATTTGAAAGTTTAGCTCCTTCTACAATGTATGTGACTTTTTAGAATAAACTGACCATTGCCAAAAATTCACTTTCTTGATTAAAAGCAAAACTGTATCTCTACTTTCATACTAACTCACTCGTGTAGGTAGTAGATTTATAACTAAATTCAACAATATCTGGTACACACTTGTAAAACTAAATAAAATCATCTACTAATGTTTGATTTAGAGTAATCTAAATACTACAAGAGAGAATAAAGGATTAATAGATAATAACTGCTAATTTTATAACTACAAAAAACATACCTTTAAAATCAACTTCACCATTTCCATCTTCATCAAATATATCAATAACACGTTGAACTAATGGATTCTGTTGCAATTCAGGAAGAGACATAAATTCGTCAATACTTAGCGCACCAGAATTATCTAAATCCAACTTTCTAAATCTTTTACCAAGTCTTCTAATTTCATCTGCATCAACTAAAGACAGACATTTGAATTTTTTAAGAAATTGAAGAACTTAATTAATATGTTGAATAGTAGCCTACTTACAATTTGAGCAGAGCTCCATAGGAAGAGAACTTTCATTACCCTATAAACAAAATATTATTACATTTAAATAATAAGTAAAAAGAAAATTCAGGACAGAAAATTTACCATTTTTCAATATAACTGGAAGAATTATATTTTCTAAACCATGAGATTACAGGATAATTCAAAAACTAAAATATATGATGTTCGTTCTAAGCATGCATGTTAAGCTAAGTTTAGAAAATCATGCAAATTGCATAGAATACAGGATCAGTAAAATTAGTTTATAAAAAGGGCTAAAAAATAAAAAAATACATTACAGTTTACTAACCATGATTTAGAGTTAAAAAATTGAGACTCGATAGATCAAAATAAATGTATACAGCTGAGGGACAATGTTTACTTAATCAAATAGGAATGATAAGAGTAGAATCGATTAGGTGAGCAGTGGCAAATCGTAGACTCACAAGGTGTTCTTTCATTATAAAGTGAAGTTGGTGAGGGAGCGTATTCAAATCTTCGGGTGTTTTTTTTTTTATGTAAAGTGTCAATTTTCGATTGACATGGAGTTATACTCCTCAGAGAGTAGCGATAGCGATGGTTTTCCGTCTATGAAAACTGTTGACTATTCTTATATGATGATTACCAATCAGATCTTAAAGAAAAATATTGAAGCTCTTGAACAAGAGAAACAGCGTGATAGAAAACCAGATGTAGTTCAAAAACTGCATGTCAACAACAATCAGTTGACTGAATTACCCCAAAATCTGTCGCACTTTCACAACCTCAGGCATATTGATGTCAGTAATAATCGTTTAAGAAGTATACCTGAAACTTTGACCAGATTTCCTCTCGTAACGTTGAATGCCAAGAATAATCTTATCACTAACGACAATCTTCCCAAATCATTTCAACCATGGGCTTCAACTTTATTAAAGTTAAATTTGGGTGGTAATAGTTTGACTCATTTCCCCCCTCAAGTATTAGATGTATTACAATTGAAAAGTCTTTACTTAGGAAGCAATCACATAGAAGAATTACCCAGGAATATCAACAAATTATCAAGGTATTAGAATGAAATATATTTCAAGCTTTATAATTAATTATAGATGTGTTATGTATTTGCAAACACTGTGATTTTTACAGTTTAAGTCTGCTGTGTGTTGGAGGAAATCGTCTCATTGAAGTACCTGATAGTGTTGGTGAATTAAATAATCTTGAAGTACTAATTGTTAGTGATAATAAGCTTGAAAACTTACCTCCAAGTATTGCGAGCTTGAAAAAACTGAAAACTTTGCAGCTTCACAAGAATAGGCTTCGCACTCTTCCAACTGAAATAATTAAGTTGAAGTGTCTTTCAGAGGTAAGTTATTTCACAATATGTTTTATCTTATTTTTACAGTCAAATTCAATATATCCTCTAATGGGTTTCATTTCAATATTTAAGCTCGAGGTAGTGTGATTTTATTATAACTTTGTTTTCTTATTGTCAGAATTTGATTCATACAGAGATGTATAGAATATTAGAAGTCATGAGTCCAAATTGTCATTATAATTGTTATTTGTAAATAATCATCCTTTGAAATTAATCAAAAAACAAATGTAACCCATCAGACAAATATAAGTGACAGTTGAAAGGAGTTGCACAAGCCAAATTTGATTTCTAATTAAAATTGTAATGTCAGCTTATATTAAAACTTTTTTTGTGGGAATTTGGGTGCTACTTCACAAGTGTTGCTCCACTTTGATGGATGGGCACAAGATCTCATAATCATACTATGAATAAAGTTCCAAGAGCGACTGAGTATAGATGTGCTCATGTCTAGCATAAACTCCATACTTTTCATTTAAAATTGGGACCATAATTAGCTTAAACAGGTCATTTTGATTTGAGATCGAGGCCTTATCATTGGTTCAGTCATATCTATCTACTTTTGGACACATTAAACCATTTTCTAAATTCCATTTATATTGTGATCCTGAGATGTTGTCCCCACCCGTCAAAGTGGAGCAACACTTCTGAAGTAGTAACAAAATTATTTTAATCTGACAGCTAACAAACTAAAAATAACAATTAGGATTAACTTAATGAGGAATAAAGTATGTTTCATAAATGCTTGCACAAGTTCATCATATTGTTATTTTTTTAAAATGAGATTAATAGCATCCCTCAACAGTATTGCAATGAAATATATTTATTTTTTAACATTCTATATTTGAGCGAACTGGGCACCTAAGCAGAGTAAAATATCAATTATGACAGAAAGCATCTCCATGAACCCAAGAAAGGAAGATCAAGTGTCAAGTGTATTGACCCATTGATTATGCTGAGAAGTCAATAAAGGCATTACAAATAATCTCTCAACTAGTGCTTGGTGTTCATTAGATGTGATTAGAATTTCAAAGAAGCAGAACAGCAATGTATTTGCAAAAGAGCTTTTATGAAGCTAATAATATATGGTTGGATAACTAGAAAGAAATTGGGGCGGGTGGCTGAATGGGCTAATGAGTGTGCACAGCACTGCCGTTGTCCGGCAACCTGACAATTGATAACTGCATAAAAATAGTCATGAGCTCATGTCAGGGGTGGCTTTTAAATCCCCCGCCTTCACCCTCTACCCTAGTAAAACCCTGTATAGCTTTAATGGTGAGGAAAGGAAGGACCAAAAAAAAAAAAAATAAACCAGGAAAAAATTGTTTATAAAAGTCTGCAGTTTGCCTAAGACTAACCATTAACAATGAAAGTAAATTTAATGTTTGGCAGAAAAATCAAACAAAGAATTAAAATGTAATATTCAGGGATAAGCTTCAAGGGAATCATATTATAATTTGGCACTAAGAACAAAGAATCGTTCTTATGTAAAAAGAGCAACAACAAAGCTCCGAACCTCTCGTCTATTTTCAAATCTTAATGTAACAATGTCATATTCTAGAGCATAGGATCCTGAATTACTCCCAAAAATACTTTACAGAGGTTTTGCTCAAAGGCCAATGAAATTTAGCCAATGTTTAAAAACTCTTGTTTTCTCAATGCCAAAATGACTTCAAACAATTGTTGATATTAACAGAATTTATATTTTAAAAAATAATGCTTTTTAAAAAAATATTTCATTTTAAAAGAAAATACTTTTTATTCAAACTGTTTCTTTATTTATGAAGTGAATTCATCCATTTGATTGACTATTTGTAGCTTAGCAATCTAAATAAAAAAAAGTTTGATTTCATTCCGATTTGAATTTAAAACCAAAATTTGATTTGTGCAATTATTTTCGACTGCCACTGTTAATTGGACAAAGCTTTGTTCTATACCTTTTGTCATGATGTGATAGTGACTTTGAGTAATATTTTTTGTTATTGATTTGATGGAAAGTTTTCAATTTTGTTGGTAACATTGAATTCTGGAATCTGCATCAGCCATTATGGTTTCAAAGATTGAATTGCAGTAAAAGGTATTACCATATTGTGATACCTGTGATCTATCACTTTCTTAATGGTTAGAATCTGAACTACGAGCAGACTATAAAATAATAGTACAAATTTTAGGTAGGAAAGGCTTAGTACTCCAAACATCCTGTTGATAAAGCACTATTATTTTTTTTTAAATATTAGAAGAGAATTATTGATAAAATCTCATGGAAAAATTAATGAAGGATCATGCTTCTGTAATAATAGAAGAGAAGATTGGTTGTGATGTTTATTAAAAAAAGGAAATATAAAAATATACAAATTATATTTATTTTATTTTTACGCCTCCATCAGGACTGGTCAGACCAAAGATTCTCACAAGACCTGTAATAATACATTTTTTTAAAAATATTTTTGGAAATTCAAATTGTTCTAACATGTGTGATCTGTTAAATAGTCAATTCAAATGAAATTCGGTATCTAGAAATTATAAATATAAATATCATTCTAGAAATTCAAGATATGCTCAATTAAATGTAAAGTAGTAATTTGGTTTATCAGTTTAGCTGATGTAGAAGTATAGCCAAACAAAATTAAAAGTAAAACATATATGAAAAAAATGTCTCAATCATGAAGATTTTATTTTAATAAAATTTACTTGTGACAATCACCTGTCATTCCTTAATATTTGTAACAAACGAATAAGCTGTTTCAATTGACAATACAAGTTGCTATCAGGTGAAATTGCCAAACAAATGTATTAAACACACTTCTAAGTATCCTACCTGAACAATATTTAAAATCTAGAACAAGTTTGAAACCTGCTGACTATAAACTATTTTGGATTGAGTAGTGACCAATATTATGTGTATGGATAAATTTCACCGCAGTGTAAGAAAAATGACTAATAGGTTAGAGAATAATTACAGATCAATAGCTGAAATCGGAAGTGATTAATATCTTACAGAAAGGTACTAATCCAAAATCTACCGCTCTTTTAATGGTAGCAATTGTTATTTAAAGGTTCAGATGTTTTTAGAAACATTATTATGCAAGTTGAATAATAAAGTCTAACTTTTGTTTTTGAAGAAAGTATCACTCCTCAGGATTGAAATTTAATTAATCCTTTATACGTTTATTCATATTTATTATTAATTTTCAATTCAGATGTTATAAATTTAATTTACACTTAATATTAAAAATGCAATGAATCAGCTACAATTTATAAACAATCAAAAATGTTGAAAGTGATAGATTGGTAAACATGTTTCATAGACTTACAGTAGGTAATGCATTTCACCCAGTAAATGAATAATATCCATAACACATTTTTTATCTTTCATTCTGAACATGATTATCTAAACAGTTTAAAGAAGATGAAAAACTAAAACCAAGATTTTCCTATAGAATTTATCTTAGTAAAAACTAATAATCCAAAAAATATGATTCTAAATAAAATATGTCAGTCAATTAAAGCGATGACAGAGTGTCAATAGCGACTTGGATTATAATCTACTAACTAAATTAAAACATATCTTTTAATTTCAGTAAAACAGTACGACAAATACATGTAATTATTACTATTATAAATTGTTGTAATTAAATTATCAAAATTTTTTAGTCTTTTTTATACACCAAAGAGGTGTTCAGACCTGAAAAGCAATTTAACATGAGAGAAAAATATATTTGTAAAATTATGGGGGAGAGGAGGATGGAATTTTCGTTATCAATTTACTGTTGTAATTTAGAATTCATTTGTTTCTAATAAATAAAGTAACTCAGCTTTTTAGTATGAGGAATTATAATTTAAATTTTCATTTAGTTTTCTCAAAATGTACAAATTTATTAAAAGGGCATTGCTAAGCATAGAAAATAAGTTAGAAATTCATCAATGTCAAAGTTGAAATGTCTGAAAATAGTGAAACCTTGAATAACATCACACCATCTCCAGCTTAATTTTTATTTTTACCCTACCAAATCTAGAACTAACAAAAGAATCAATGGAGCGAATCCATGCAATACACTATGTCGGAAATTAGACGTGATATTTGCTTGGTGATTAAAGATTTATGATGACTCCTGTTCATCAATATAAGATATTTATACATTTTTTATTGTGATATTATATATTTGTTCTCAATGATGTGAGCTATGTTAAGAGTGAGAGAAGGCAAGTCGAGGTATTAATGTTTCCAGAGAAGAGTGGGCGCCATAAATCCTGGATCTGCATCTGAGTTTAGCCATAGAACTCAAGTGGAAATTTATTTTATTCTTCAATGATACTTGCCTATGTCTGTTTTTTCCTTAGCTATTCTAATTGGAAACAACCCTCTACCTTATGCTTTGCCATTTTCAAATATATATTTTCAATGTGATGTGTGAATTTTTGGTCTTTTTAATCTTGGATATGGTTTAATTCGTTGGATGAATCACAGTATGAAATGTTGAATCAGATATAGATTCATCAATTCCGTTTCTAAAAGCATGAAGATTAGTTTAGGATAAAATCTCCAGTAGGTGACATGTTAAATGTTAATTTTTTAAAAATCTAGATTGATGTTACATGGATTTGAAATATGTCTCGTTAAGCTGAGAAATAATTCTATAAGATGAATCCAAGAAAAATATAATAACATCAATATTTGAGTTTTTACACGTAAATATTCAAAGAAAATTCCTTAAGCAGCTACTGGTGCATTTACCCTATTTAGAATCGTATTTTTTTGTTCTTTTAGAATATATGAGCATCTACTTTTATTTTATACGTTTATCCATACAACAGTAGAAGGTACATTGCATGTTAGTTACCCTATTATAAATTTTGTGGATAAGGTATTTTATGTATTAATACAAATACCCTTCTTTATCGTTTTTATTATAAGGGAATTTTGAAATTGCTGACTATATATGTAGATTTCGGTTCATGATAGATTTTATCATTCAATAGCGTCATCAGGT